GACTAAAGCAGTGTGTGTGGAGTATGTGCAGCTCTTCAGAAACCACTGACTGTAAACAACCCCACAACAAGCAGCAAGAGCAAGCAAACTCTCACACAGAGTCACACACTTTTCCTTTCTGCCGTATATGGCTTTTGGACACATCGGTGGCATGGAAAGTAACTCCAGCACTTTACAGAGAAGCTTGAGTTGTTTGGCCAGTGGCAGACGCAAAACTAAGATCAGCTTTATGTGTGCGCAAAAGTTTGGGGTTATAATAAGATTTTTATTAAAAATACTGTAAAAATTGTAATGTTGTGAAATATTATTACAATTTAAAATAACTGTTTTCTATTTGATTATATGTTAAAATATAATTTATTCCTGTGATCAAAGCTGAATTTTCAGCAAATTCAGTGTCACATGATCCTTCAGAAATCTCTTTACTGTCACTTTTGATCAATTTAAAACGATCAGTTTCTTTAAAATTATAAAAACTTAACTCTAATTAATTCTAACTCAAATCTCCAGGATGTAAAGATCTGGAGTTTTGGTCTGTAGTACGGTAGTTAATTATGATTAGAACTAACTAAATTAATAAATAAATAAATATTGGATATACATTTAACCAGCAACACACTTAATGACTACTTTTCTACAAATAAAACTTTTATATTTCTACATAAAATTCAAATCTGTTGTCTTAAAGGATTACATGGATTTATCAAAACATGCCAAGAACCTGTCCAGGTCATATTTCAGTCCAATTAATTTTTAATAATTTCTAATTACTATGCTTTTGCTTGTTTTTATTTTCTGGTTAAATAATGGCTGAACTTTCCAAAACGTTCACTCTGTTAGAACAAGTTGCTTTGGATGAAAGTATCTGCTAAATGCAAAAATGTAAAATGCATAAATGTTACAAGCAAATTTTATTAAAAACAAACAAACAAAGGACTACATGGGATTATCTTACAAAACATGTCAAGAACTTGCCAAGCTCATATTTCACTCCAAAATCTAATTATTATTATTATTATTATTATTTAAGAATTATAGTTATTTAAATTACATTTTGTATAAAGGATATGCAGCCTCACAAATACAATTTCGTCTTTTGATTTTAGGGTTGAATATTGCTCTGAAATGCTCCTGACAGGTTTTGTGAGATTCAGCTCATTCACTCTGATCTTATGGCACTTGGCACAACATGAATGGCCACAGAATGATAAGAGCACACGTTTTAACTTATCATTTTATTATTTCACACTCAGTATTTTAACTTAAGCGCTGCAAGCCATGCACTCAGAGCCGGACATGTAACTTTAAAGGAATTCCTTTAGCTTATTACCGTTACTGTGGCAGCCAGCAACAGCACAGCTTAACCCTGCGCACATTTTTATATTTAGTTATATTGAAAAAGTTTCAGTAGCTGTCGGGCAAGATGGTGGATAGCAGCAGCGGCACATAATATCCGCATTCTGATTGGTCAGATCGCCTGTCAATCAAGCTCCCTGCGAACGGTCAATTACCCACAATCCTGTGCAGACCAATCAGACATCAGAGGCCATATTTCCACAGAAATGCAAAAATAAATGAACTTACCCGTTGCTTCGATCATCTTGTGTGTCCTTCCTCTCTCTTGTTGTCTTTCCTCATTACCTAGACTTACGTCATGCCTGAAATCAACACAGTTTAGCTGTTACAAGTGCATTTGACAAAAGGGACAAGGACATGACATTCATTTTATTGTTTGTAAATACAGAACTGTACCAATTCGTACATACAATGCTGTGCAATGTTGCTGCTGTCAACTAAAACTATTAAAAATAGATTTTTGGTGATTGAAATAAATCAGAAATAAAATAAATGAATGTAGAGCACCAGTCTGTATTTGCAGAAAGCAGAATAAGGCTTGAGAGCTTTAGTGGAGAAACTTAAAATTTCAGTATGTTTCCTAAATAAAGCTATTGTCTGGAGTAACATAAAAAGTGAGCAAACAATGACAACTTTCATTATGGATGAACTATTTATTTATAATTTCACTTGACTCTGTGACCCTGGAGCACAAAAGCAGTAATAAGTAGCACAGGTATAGCCTATTTGTAGCAATAGCCAACAATACATTGTATGGGTCACAATTATCCATTTTTCTTTTATGCCAAAAATCATTAGGATATTAAGTAAAGATCATGTTCCATGAAGATATTTTCCTACTGTAAATATATCAAAACTTAATTTTTGATTAGTAATATGCATTGCTAAGAACTTCATTTGGACAACTTTAAAGATGATTTTCTCAATATTTTGATTTTTTTTGCAACCTCAGATTCCAGATTTTCAAATAGTTGTATCTCAGCCAAATATTGTCCTATCATAACAAACCATACATCAATGGAAAACTCATTTATTCAACTTTGAGATGGTGTATATATCTCAATTTTAAAAAATTGACCTTTATTTTCCGGTTTTGTGGTCCAGGGTCACATATGCCGTATTTTCCTGTTTTAAGATAACGAGTGCAGAAATGTCTAAAATTTGCTTTGCTTTTCCGTAACCAAACATTCTGTTTTTTTAATCAACCGCACATGATCAGATCTCGAAAGAGATCATATTCTGCACTTTTGTAGCATTTTAAGTTATTATTGTTATTATTGAAATGTTAGATTTTCAAGGTTTCTTACAAGCTGTCGTAGTTTGTTCTTCATGACTATTTTCAACCTTTACGTTGTTTTCATGTGCTCATCAATTTTCAAATCAGCTCTACAATACATTTTTAAGAAAGTAATTCAGCAAAAACAAGCTGCACATTTCTCTCCCTCAAGTGCATTTCCAAGTGCTGTATGTGCCTACGGTTTTAGTATAGAAACATATGAACACCAGACTGTCTGATGGATATCGCCGGTCGTGTCTCCTGTAGGTGGAATAGCAGAGAAGCTGGCCGAGAAGTTGATCAGCGTGCTGTTTGAGGTTTGGTTCCTGGCCTGCACTCGCTGCTTCCCCACGCCGCCCTACTGGAAGACGGCCCGAGAGATGCTGGCCAACTGGAGACATCACCCTCCGGTGGTGGAGCAGTGGAGTAAAGTCATCGCTGCTCTCACTTCCAGGTACTGTAGCCCTGCATCATCGCTGCAGCTTTGTTTATTTTCTTGTTTTATAGTTTATTTAACAGGGACAATACAGAATATCATTACTGCACAGTGTTGAGCAGCAGATGTTATGGGTCAAAGATGAAAAGGGGTTTTCAAGCATCAATGCAAATAAATGTTTAATACAGCTTTAATATATTTTTTTCATGCATCAGTAAGTGTCCTGTTAAATTTAATTTTTTTCTGAAAAATAATGACTATCGTACATTTTTACCATGAATTACTGAAATGTCATTTAGTGTAACAATAGTTCATATACCAAGAAATCTTGTCAGGCATGTTTAGAACAAAAATCATTAGATGATATTGAGCCTTTGGTTAATATTCTCTCTTCATTGAGAGTCAAGGTAACCAAAACTTAGAAGATCCAAAAAGGTCATGAAGTCGTATGTTTAATCCCCAGTGACCTTTTGACCTCAGGATGTTGCTATATGTGACCCTGAACCACAAAACCAGTCTTAAATGTCAGTTTTTCGAAATTGAGATTTATACATCAGCCCGTTTAAAGTGCCAGAGGAAGACGCCAGCCTCATCCCCGCTGAGATGGACAACGACTGTGTGGCTCAGACGTGGTATCGATTTCTGCACATGCTCAGGTCTGCAGTCGAACGGACTTCATCTGCTTACTGTCTCAGTCCGCTGGGTCCATTCTGATCGTAGTCACTTACATAAGTTGTTCGTTTATCAGTAACCCCGTGGACCTGAGCAATCCCGTCATAGTGAGTTCCACCCCAAAGTTTCAAGAGCAGTTGTTGGGGGGAAACAGCGTTCCTCAAGAGGTCATTCAGCACCCCTGCCTCAAACAGCTGCCTCAGATCTTCTTCAGAGCGATGAGGGGCGCCAGCTGCCTCGTGGACGCTTTCCTCGGTAAGATCACATTACAAGGGTCTCTTATGAATTGCATTGGGTTTTTTTATGCTATTAACATGATATTCCATAAAGTAGCATATAAATACCATGGTAAATCAATATGGTAATCGTTCAGTATGTGCAACTGAGCCTCTACATATGCACATTATTTTATTGCTCTATATTTTAATCTCAGATGTAAATTTTATTACTCAGCAAAAAGTCAACCCTGAATCGATTTTGCGTTTTCTATCCAAAGCGAACATTAAAAACCTTTTAAATTGCTCTTTTATGGCATTTAGGGCTGCACAATCAATCGAATTACTAATCACGATTACAATTATGGATGCCACAATTACGTAATCGCTCAAAGTCCACTTATGTTATTCTGCGTGCTTAAGATGTGTTTTTTTCTTTCTACATGGTTTTTCCATTGTTTTAGTTTTAGTATAACATTTATAATACCATTCATATTTTAACGTTTTTTATAATTTAAAGAAGAAACCAATCCGATGTATAGTTGACATTTGAGGCTTAATACTATAGAAAAGCACTAACGTTTTTTTCAGTTAGAGTGTTTTCAGCTTGTTTATGTTTATATAAAAATACAGCATGCAGTTGCATCAAACAATGGTATAAACATAATTCAGTGTAAATTGTGATAATCGTAATTAATAATCGCAATTACAATTTCAAGGGAATAATCGACAATTATGATTTTTGTCATAATCGTGCAGCCCTAATGGCATTTCAGCAATAGTCAAGGAAGCTGATATGACATTAACAAAACAACCAACCAAACTACTAATCTCAGATGTTGTTTTAATGTTTGTGGTGTGCTGGTCATTTGGTTTGAATCTCAGTCGACACCGGCTTTGACTGTTTTTCCATTTCTAGGTGTTGCTGTTTGTAAGAAACTCGAGTGTCGTGAAACTCTGCCCTCTTCTGGTACTCATTCAGCAGTTCAATGCTGTTGTCTTATCATTGTCACTCTTAGCCCTTTTTCCTCTGACATGGTGCTGGAAACTGCTTCACATGTGCATACTGTTCATTTAATTAACACCAACTCAACATATTCCATTTCCTTTCCCAGTCCGTCTGAAATGATTTTATTTACAATATCACATGTTATTGCTATGAATTTTATTTTTTTAAATAATAAGGTAAAATTTTGGAATAATTAACATAATACACATAAATATGAAGCAGCACAACATTGATAATAATCAAAAAAATTTTCTTGAGCAGCAAATCAGCATATTAGAATGATTTCTGAAGGATCATGTGACACTGAAGAATGCTGAAAATTCAGCTTTGCGTCACAGGAATAAATTACATTTTACAATATATTTTACTTTAAAAACGGTTATTTTAAATTGTAATAATATTTCACAATTTTACTGTTTTTGATCAAATAAATGCAACTTTGGTGGGCATAAAATACTTCATTCAAAAACTTAAAAAAAAATCTTAATTAGTCCAGACTTATTTAAAGAACCTCTAATTATTACATCAAAGCCAGTTTGTGATCATAAAGGAGCTGCATTAAATTGCTTTGGATGTTAAGATATGTTTTCAAAACTAGGCTTAAGACTTGTTGAACAATGATTGCAATGCTATATGTTTGATTCAGTGGTTCATGTTGAGCACCAGCACCATTTTGATGGGAAAGGGGTATCAAGTCAGTCTGTAAAGTAGATTGTGACTGTAACTTTATTCTGAAATCAGAGCACAGTCTGGTTTATTGGATTTTTGGTTTAATTATAAGTTCAAGCATGTTCAGGTGTTTAAACTGAATAGAAAATAAGCTTGACTTAATTAATTTCTTCATGCAGACAGTATTTGAGATGCTTCTGTCTGCTGTTGAATGCAGCAATTAGTTCTTGTTTTTAAGTGAATATTTAGTCAAAATTTGTCCTGAGAATGAATTATGTCTGATTTTCCACTGCCTTTGTGACCAGACTGTCACATCTCAGTATAGTTAGTTGTGATAGTTCTATATCATAACTGCACATGCTCGTGGTTTGTTCACAATAATAACCTGACGTGTTGTGTCCATATGAGTGTCTAACATTTCTTCAGAGGTCTTGTTTTATGTTTTCTCAGGAGTCACAGTGTCTAGGAGCAATATTCGAGACAGACTTCCCTCTATAGGTACACTAAACCTGTCCAAACCCAATCAGTTAGTGACTAACAGTGGGCTTAACTACCCATCACACTGATTCTGGAGGTGTTTGGGTGCAACTCGCATATCCTGATTAGGGACAGAAATAAAAATCATTTTCTAGCTGGAGTTTCTAAAATTATGGTCATAATGTATGTTGTAATTCTTCCTTTTTGAGGTTACTGTGTAATCCCATTTTTTCCCCAGGTGTTGCTGTATCTCGGAACAATTTTCGAGACAGACTCCCATCTTATGGTATTTGATAACGCGCCTCTGACTAATCAAGAGGGAGTTTGATGAGGATTGTAGATACACGAGCACTTTTAGATCAAAGATCTATGTTGTGGAAATCAATCAATTATCCATTGTTAATTATCTTGTTAATTGCCTTGTTTTTGCTCCCATACAAGAGTAAATCGTTGCCCAGAATGAATGTGAACATACTTATTGATTGGTACCCAGTCTGCCTCTATTCCAGCTGTCCTTTGTTTAGACACAAAATCAAACTGGCATTTAAATGGCACTTTGATTTAAAGACCTCATGAAATTAAAATGTGGCATTTAGTTGCTGTCTGTAGCTTTGAGATCATCTAAAATTCTAGATTATATCACAAAACATATACAGTGGGTACGGAAAGTATTCAGACCCCCTTAAATTTTTCACTCTTTGTTATATTGCAGCCATTTGCTAAAATCATTTAAGTTAATTTTTTTTCC